CGGTCGCGGCCATACATCATCCGATTCCCTATAGTCTTGGCTGCTATAGTCTCTGACGAGTCCGAAGATGTTAAAGAGACGGTATGATCATAGACCCCAGTCGTGCCCACACCGTGGAAGTGAGAGTAGTAGGATGAGTTGCATTCTCGCTCCAGATGTCGCTGCCCTTCAGCTGGCCGTGCACTACTTCCTTTGGTGGGGTGATCCTGGATTTTACCTCTATCACTATGAGAACCAGTGGCTTGACGATGCACACTGAGAAACGCGGCTGTCAAACGTCATTGACCTCCCAGTTGTATTACCCATCAGCTTCAGCTACTACATGAGCTCTATTACGCGTGTGAGTACCTAGCTTGAATTGAGGAAATGACGCGATTGTGGTATGATGATTACGGGAGTCTATCCTTTCCTCCTCTACGGCAGAGGTTGAACAGCACAGTAGCCTTTGAAAGAGTGTGGGGTCTGAAGGCATTGAACCAACTATAATAAAGAACCCGAGAATTCCTTGAATCGTTAAAGCAGCTGCAGATCAAGTCAAGTTAAAGTTAGTTAGTAAGTTAGTTTGGTCAAGTTAAATCAGCAGCAGGAGTGGTTGGTGATAACGCAATCCCCTCCCTATTACGTTCATCCTTCTCGAGACGGCTCCGAGCCTTGGGTATACTGCTGATATGATTCCTACAATAGAGTTCATACGCTGTTCGGCAGCCTATATAACGCTAAGGCTCTTCTGCACTACTACGCTGTCATGGTCATAGACAAGTTCATTCAGGGGGGCACGGTAGTGCAAGATTATGATGATCATCAAAAGTAATGGGTGAATCGAATAGTGAATGCAGTCTACAGCTCTCTGTATGCGGCAAGAGTGAGGCCACGTCTCCCACTACTACCTTCTGAATTTGCCCAGTATATCATGTAGTGCTATTCCAGAGTACCACTGATCAGAATTGAGACACATTTGCAGATGGAGTGGTACGAATATTTGTTAGCATGTGAAGATACACTTACAATAACTGAGAAGGGAAGAGTCGAAGGTGTGGTTTCGAGCGGCGGCAAAAGTGCGCACTTTCCAACTACGAGTTTTGTGGCGCAGTGACGATTCATTTCCGGACCGTGTCGCCAATACCACTCCTTGGCGTCTTCCTATCAATGCCTGACGAGAGCCAGTCGTTCTACAATCAGAAGGCTCGTGTGCGACAAGAGAAAATATGGAATGAAGTAATTGCAACAGAACTGCGGTAAAACACAACACAAAGGGACGCACCCCTGCGCCCTTCCGGACTAGTCATTCCCTCTAGGCACAGCCGACCGTATCTGATCTTCCAAATGAACCACACCAGACCTCTACCCCCTGTAGTTACTACTGTCGCTGAGAAGGTCCAGGTTCAAACGCCGCAGGAACGGGTGAGATTATCGTGTACATGGTGTAGTTGATGCTGTGTCCTTGGCAGTTGGAAACAACTAAGGTGGATGAGGGTTCCTATGAGATACAGGTCATAAGGCACCGCGGTAGAGTCCCTGCTGAGCGGCTGAGTGAACCAGAGACGAGTCAGCAAGAGATTGGCTGGCTCATAGGTATCAGGTAGTAACACTAACGCTACAAACGTTTGGTGGCATAGGAATTTATGGCGTACAACACCGTTTGGAAATCTATCGGCGGAGTAGTACTGTGTATATGGTATGCAGTAGATGACGTAGTCTGTGGTCAGTAACTACGATGTGTTTTCCGATATGTATAATAACGTTCTAGACTAGAACCAACTGAACGCGTGATGATAGTCACCAAGCTAGCCATAGGCCCTCAACGTTGCAACACTCTATTGTGCAGGGCCCAGCAACTCAAACGAAAGGCTTGTCAGCAGGATGGCAGTGCCCCAGCAGTCGAGTTCGCCCCGACGGCCAACGCCGCTAAAGATCTGCCCAGATCCACGTGAGGACCAGTTGTAGAGCTTTCATGATAGAGGCGTTGTTCATCTGTAGTGTCCACCATATGAAGACGTTGAACCCTTCGAAGTGGAGATACAGTAAGGGTAAATGTGATGTGACTGAGTATGTTGATAAGTAAGGTCAGTACTGCTCTCGCTGTGGAGCATAGATTGGCGCAGATATGTTACAGCTTTCCGTAATAATCCCTTCAACGCAACCACTGCTCCCCGTTGACTTCTAAACTTATGTATAACGACTCGCATGCTGATCATTTTGATAATAACTCAACTTTATGATGTTGTTGATGCTGTTATTTGTCGTGTTGGGACGCGTGCATTGGGAGCAGTTCGAGCCACAGGTTTGAGCTTTCTACTTGAATGAACACTCTCACTTTCGATCAACTTGAGCAAAAGCTCTGTGAGTATCCTTTAGAACACCTTGGCTCAGTTCACTCAAGTAAATAGTGACAACGTCGTGTCATAGGAAGGAGATGAGACTGATATGACTCGAGGTCTTAGCAAGTTAACAGTCAAATAAATGGCGGGCAGGCAAGAGATATAGCGCTAGTCAGCGGATTCGTCTGCTGTCAGGAAAGGGTAGATAACGGCTTACCCACGGGCTAGCTGAGTCGCAATATTACCCTAACCCGTGAGCGAGCCAATTTGTGACGAGTTGACACTGCAAGATTACGGGACAGCAAAAAATTATTTTATGACTTTCTCCACCTGCTACCACTGTTACGCAACGCTAAACGCTCATTAACTCGTCGTCATTTCCATAACAACTTCTTCTGAGCAACTTCTACAACATTAACGACCGTGCGTGTGGCATCGACAGATCTATTGGCTGATCAATGCGGAGGTATCCGCTCTGGTCAGATTGATGCCAGGGCTTGCCTCGGCACTCAACCCCTTCACTGGTCTCCTAGTGAACAGGGAGCACAGACAAGCCAGAAGCTGATTCCTCTTCTTATGCCTGATAACACACGTCACCTCTACCGTAACTGGAGGGCGTTGATTGCTCACATCGGGACGTAGTTGAGCAAGTAGGCAGATTGTTCCTTCGTGAAGCATCTAGCGTTACGCAGCTTACGGACCAGGAAAATCTAAGGTGGAGATACAACGACTAGTTTCATATAGGCATACACGTACGGCTTCGGAAGGTTCCATCTTCTCCCTTTCGATGAGCCCCAATGCGACCATAGCCGGGGACCTCCCAAGCCCGGAAATGCAGTGTATGGCTACACACGGCGGAGAGCAGTTGTCCTCCTTATTCCTCTTGCGATATAAAGATGAGTCAAGAATCTCAAGAAAGGCCTCCACTACATCGTCGGGTGGAGCAGATCCATCAGCAAAGGGCTGATGTGAACGAGTCAAGGCGATACAATAGGAAAAGACTCACCAGGTCATGAACGCCAATACTGAGGTCCTCGAAAGCCTCTCGAGGATAGCGAGCATCGTTATCACTTGAAACCCGGACCTACAGGTGAACCTCATTCCCCGCCGCCTAGACGAATCGTACAAGCTCTGTAACGCCGAAGCGTCTCTTGAGGTATAATGCAAGGGAATGAGCATTGTCCCCAGTGGGGGCCTCGCAGATGACCATCTGACATGTAACGATGCTCCAAAATATGTTCGAAACCAATCATACTGCTCACCCTGAAACGACCGCTTTTCCCGGCAGCGATCAGTGTAGGTCCACGTGGAGATATCAAACAGTTGTAGGTGCCAACTGGGGGTCTGTCCCACTCAACAACACTCTTCGTGCCAGCTTCATCTACCGATATGAATCTCGAGACAAGCAATAGGCATACCTCTGCTACAGCGTTTGTAGATCTCTGCCATCCTAGCACATTCTCTTCTCTGACTCTTGGTGCCCCACGGACGAGTAGTTGGCGGTGACACTTCGACAGGTGTAACACCATTGTTGCCGCTACCAGTGGTACTTGGCTCACTGCTGACCGAGCTGGTGACACGACGAGCTGTCAACATGAAGATGCTTCGATTGGAGTAAGTGTGAAGAATCCTTACTTGTCTCGACCTCGGACGGACCTGCCTGATGATTCCCTCTCTTCTCCAATGACATATCTTGATGGTTGTTTGATCTGAATAGCACGTTGGACAAAAACTACATGGGATGAGCCCAACCTACCTCCTGCTGCTGCTACTGCAAAGGAAGGACTCCTGGACTATTCAAAGGTCAATATGGCTCAGAGACTGTCAACAGCACTGAGCGAATAATAGAAGGGTATAATTTAGATCGCTGTAGGCCCCGTTGGCTCGACACTCAGAAGCCAATACTAGCGAAAAGTGCGCTGTAGTAGGTGGAAGGTCGCCTGAACAAATACTCTCGATGATGACAGTTCATGCTTCGGACCACTACCCAGTTTTAAATGAACAGCAATCCAAGTTGCTGTAACGAAGTGTTGTGCGAGTGGTGGTTACTATAGGCAGCGCTCTACGACTGAGGAGAGCACTAAGGGGAGGACCTAGAGGTGCGGTACAAAGTGAACTGTGAGACAACATACACCAATGACGATTCCTTGTGGTAACCAAACACAGTGCGAGTAACGAGACAGTTAGTATTAACACGTGGAGCGATCATGTGCGAATTTTAATGGAACGGTCACCACTCATAGCTCTCCTTCTCTTGGTAGTGCCACAGTATCGCCAATGGGACTCATGCACCTGTCTAGAGCATCTACCTAGACAGCCTACAACTTCAAAATCCCTACGGCAATCAATGATCTCACTAGCCGACTCTTCCCCAAGTACTCACGTGAGTAAATGAAATGTCCTTTTACCTCAATTATCTGTTACATTATAGACCCTAACTGTCCTGAGCAGATCAGTGACGATGATTTCACCACAGACCCCTATATCCTAACAAGCATACAGGTTAGTCGTACTGGCTCATCCACAAGAGTGGCTCATGCTGGCTCTGACATGTAGTGATAACATACAAGGAATAAACCATCTGTACACCCATATAGATTGAGTTCAACACCACACATACTTCAGACAACAAAATCGGACTGATATTAACGCAGTAATCGGTCGTACAGTACTCGCTAAGGAATGTGATAAGGACGCCGTCCTTGGATGTACTACAGACAGATACACCAAAATTGAAGAAAACCTGAGACCATCACATCCAAATAGGAATGCAAAAGCAGCGCGACGAAAGAGGCACACCATAACCAAGTAAAGAAAATGGACCTTGGCAGAACATTCTTCGATAGAAAAACAATTCGTCGCACACAGCAACCCGACTACAGAAACAAGCCTCAGACGACAGAATAGAGGTGATGAGCTTCCCAGCTTCCCTTGCGAGCACAGTATATTGTAGAGAACTGTACTCACGACCTGCAGGTAACAGGGGACATCGGAAGTAATTAGCTAGAGATCGCAATCGTAAGCACATCTCAGGCAGTAAATAGATATGTTAAAAACTGTTACATTTGATAGCAGTATATAGTAGAGGCTCAGGTGCTGGGTTCATGACGGAGAACTGCCAGAGCCATCTGTGATGGATCGTCGGTCCTCGAGACCGTACATGCAGAAGGTACAGTGACGACATCGAACCGCCCAACCCTCCTCCTCTTGATGATATCGGAGGAGTCAGCGGCTTCGCACTCGAACCTCCCTACCCGACGGACTTTTGGACGAGCATCGCTGGATGGCAGCTCGGAGTCAGTGGCCTTTCGCAAGGTAGCACTTCTTAGAGTATTGGCCTCACTATCCGTGAGCATGAGCAGAGGACCCAGACTGAACCTACCCCTCCGAACATGAGCATCTTCGGGCGGCTGACGTCGCCCATTGTCAGTAGGAGAACTCTCGACGACCATGCAAGGCACCGACCAGGCTATAAGTGGTGAGATAAATAATAAAAAAGTATATGCTGAGAGCACAAATGGCCAACTCGATACGTTGTACGCCCGCGTACGATTTCCGAGAAGAAATCTTGGAATCTTGCGCTCCCACTAAAAACCGCACGAGCGCGGAATAAATGAATCCAACATGGGAGTGCTCCAACTTGGATCACACACAACTCCGTCGAAGATTCGACTGTAGAGTTCAGGATAGGACCAATTCGGTGACGATCAGGATCGATCCGTGATCAGTTCCTCTGGATGGGGCAGCTATGCCATCTCAAAAACTATGCCCTACTACGATGATCAGTTCCTCTGGATGGGGCAGCTATGCCATCTCAAAAACTATGCCCTACTACGATGATCAGTTCCTCTGGATGGGGCAACTATGCCATCTCAAAAACTATGCCCTACTACGATGATCAATTCCTCCGGATGGGGCAGCTATGCCATCTCAAAAACTATGCCCTACTACGATGATCAATTCCTCCGGATGGGGCAGCTATGCCATCTCAAAAACTATGCCCTACTACGATGATCAATTCCTCTGCATGGGGCAACTATGCCATCTCAAAAACTATGCCCTATTACGATGATCAATTCCTCTGCATGGGGCAGCTATGCCATCTCAAAAACTATGCCCTACTTCGATGATCAATTCCTCTGCATGGGGCGGCTATGCCATCTCAAAAACTATGCCCTACTTCGATGATCAATTCCTCTGCATGGGGCGGCTATGCCATCTCAAAAACTATGCCCTACTTCGATGATCAATTCCTCTGCATGGGGCAGCTATGCCATCTCAAAAACTATGCCCTACTACGATGATCAATTCCTCCGGATGGGGCAACTATGCCATCTCAAAAACTATGCCCTATTACGATGATCAATTCCTCAGGATGGGGTAACTATGCCATCTCAAAAACTATGCCCTACTACGATGATCAATTCCTCTGCATGGGGCAGCTATGCCATCTCAAAAACTATGCCCTACTACGATGATCAATTCCTCCGGATGGGGCAACTATGCCATCTCAAAAACTATGCCCTATTACGATGATCAATTCCTCAGGATGGGGTAACTATGCCATCTCAAAAACTATGCCCTACTACGATGATCAATTCCTCTGCATGGGGCAGCTATGCCATCTCAAAAACTATGCCCTACTACGATGATCAATTCCTCTGCATGGGGCAGCTATGCCATCTCAAAAACTATGCCCTACTACGATGATCACTTCCACAGACACACAGGCACAGCTTCAACTTGGATGTAATGAAGGAATTAAATTCGCTGTGAGTCGAAGGACAAATTCCGCTTGAGGGAGGATATGCTATTTCAAGAAGGTATGAACTACACTGCGACATATCGAGGCTCAGTGAGAATAACAGGACCGGCCCAAGTTCCACTGGAAGAACAGAGCAGTGTCGCGACACAAACCTTACTCAGTCAGCTGACCGAGGCAACTCTCCCCCGACATACTCCGTGTGGCAAGTTCAGGGACAAAAACGGTGTGATTCATAGATGTGCGGGAACAAAATTCGTTCCCATACATTACTTTCACAGACTCAAGAGTTATCGCAGTATTACCAGAAATCAGTGCATAAACTCGTTTGAGCTCCGGATCTACCCCTCTTATTTTCACTTGATTTGCGAATCTATAGCGCTAGCTGCCTTATCGGAATGCTAGCAATAAGAGGAAGCATACATACTACTATAGATAAGGCTATTTTTACGAGAGCAAGCTATCACATATATGCGTCCCTCGAACCAATAGTGTACGATAGTATTCATCTAGAAATAATGTATTGACTAAAGCAAGCAGAGCTCACTGATCAACCATCAGGTACTTCAATACTTGGAACACCTCGAAGTTCAGACCTTCAAGTTCTAGTATATATGAAAGACGAAGGAGAAGAGAAGACTACCGCAAGGTACGGTAGACATACACACGGAATTGTCAACTGGTAGAACTGTTACGAGTAAATGACAATACCACAGGCAAGACGGGTGATAACGGTATCGAATCGATCAACGATAGAGAACTAAATCATCTATGTCCGCGAGCATATAGCTGAAGCAGGCCAGTGAATTAGATGAAAGGATATATAAAGCTAGGGAAAAGAAGGTCGCTTTATCACGACTTCTCCACCGTTCACGAATGAATCCTCGCATCTTGATACCACACACGCTGACGACCAAGTCGTGACCTCGAATCGACCGACACGTCTACGTTGGAGTAGCTCAGGGGCATCCTCACGCTCAGCGTCAGCACACTCAAAGCGGCCTATACGGCGTACTTGGGGAATAGTAGGCGGCTCCTTACAGCCAACAATGACGTCATCGTCCTTATAAAGAATGGCAGCCGATAGACCACTCGCGTCTAACGGCGAAAGACTCACCACGGGATCGAGGTTGAAGCGACCTCTCCGATAGGAAGACGATGTGGAAGCAGTAGTAGGAGCTCTACTAAAACCAACACTACAACAGCGAGTCTGGGCCATAAACAGCACCGATGAAGACGATGGGGAATAATAATATCCCGATGGGGACGCAAGTACGATAAACTTTCAACTCTGAAAGAAAAGGAATTTGCGATTGACCCCTGCCGACAAACTCGTCGATTACCCAACCTAAGCCCACGGCTAGCTCTTTAAAACGATCTTGCTATCTTGACCATTTCTCCGAGGGCTGTTGCTTGCGTGTTGAGATTCGCAGCTGTCACCCATATTGTATTCGGTACTGTTAGATCCGAGAGAGCTTCACCAGCCCCGACTTTATTTATGCGGTCAACTCGACATTTATTGTGGATAGTCTCGATCAACGACCTCGTACGCTGAGAAGGAGCTCAGCCGTATCGGCACAGGCTTGTCTCTGTTGATGCAACGCCACGATCTTAGTGTGCGTCGTTGAATATGTATGTGATCTCTGTGATTAGCCATTGACGTTTACTCGAGTATGCTTTCTGTAGCAACAGACTGGTATGACGACTCGTCATTGACGAGGCAGGTTCGCCCTTTAGGATAGAATATTGTGTAATCGCGCCTTTCTTGCGCAGGGAATTCCTCGAGGAACTGTCTAACTTGTGCTTTAGCTCAGTATCAACACGCAGGGGATATCATACGCTAGTGGGTTCACTTAGTTTTCGCATGTTCTGTGGTATGTCAGATTTGAAGACTCCTTCGAATTCAGTTATTATATAAGACCGTTTTAATAGATATGTCTGTGAAGAGCTTCGTTGATAACGAGATCGCGACCAACAAGGTTGTACTGTTTGGCAAGTCCTACTGTCCTCACTGCAAGAAGGCAAAGGAGGCCCTCGCTTCAATCGACGTTACTCCTAAGGTTATCGAGCTCGATGAACGTGAAGACTGCTCTGACATTCAAGACTACTTGGGTCAGCTCACTGGTGCTCGCAGTGTAAGCTCTCCTTCCGCTTCAGCTTGTGTAGTTGACGCTTATCCTTACAGGTACCTCGTGTGTTTGTGAATGGTAAATTCATTGGAGGCGGTGATGACACCGTGGCCAAGGTGAAGAGTGGAGAGTTGAGAACGTTAGTCCAGGCATAATCCTACTTAACTGGCTGCCTTCGGACTGGAGATATGCATATGGGTGCTCAAAAAGGCGCTTAGTGTATCTGTTAATGTCTAAGACGCTAGAGTTTTGTTGCTTATGGGATGAGCCGTGTTGAGTTGGTATAGTTGGAACTACAGGAAAGGTAGCCGTGTAGATAGTAAAGGTCGTCTGACTTGGTGAAGGAAGAGAAAGGGGGAGTTGAGGAGTCTGTTGATGGTGAAATGACGGGTAATAAAATTATGACTTTCACTGGAGACGTATTACCGTATCAGGAGTCTGCATTGAATAGTGTTGGTAACATAAGGGTACTGTGGGAACTCTATTGGGACTATGAGAGAATTTGAAGGGGAGGGTGTCAGGGTCGGACTGAACTATTAGAGAATTTGAAGGGGAGGGTGTCAGGGTCGGACTGAACTATTAGAGAATTTGAAGGGGAGGGTGTCAGGGTCGGACTGAACTATTAGAGAATTTGAAGGGGAGGGTGTCAGGGTCGGACTGAACTATTAGAGAATTTGAAGGGGAAGGTGTCAGGGTCGGACTGAACTATTAGAGAATTTGAAGGGGAAGGTGTCAGGGTCGGACTGGACTATTAGAGAACTTGAAGAGGAGGGTGTTAGGGTTGGACTCGACTTGATCACCTCCCACATCAAGGAGATTATCGAGCTCATCTTTGCCGTAGTCAACGACATCATCAAATGAAAACAAGTGGAGTGATTTAATTCGACAACTGCTTTCAATGTGAGTAGCACATCAGACGTCATTATATCCACTGGTCAATAACAATGAACCATCATCGTAGCCGTTTCATACAGTTATAGAACGCTCGTAATTAGTCTTACATCGTTCTACCGACAGGTGATCTACTGTACATCATCTATCGGTAGAGAGAAGGAATTCATGAAATTACATCCTCGCAGGCTTCGAGTTCCTACGGCCGGATGCGTATAATGATGCGACTCTCGTGGAGGTGATTAACTCAAGGAAGAATTTTCAGCATTCAGTTGTTCGCTTCTTGGGTCGTCTGGGCTATTCCTCGCCAGTCCAAGAAGCATACTACAACCGACCAGGACGAGTCGTCAACGGCATCAATTCCTACCGAAGCCGGTAGGAATTGATACTACAACTTCGTACTAATCTCTAAGGCAAACTGATGACTGCCTTTTAGCTGGTGGATAGTCATTAGCCGCTAATGCACAAGGATTTTTCTCGATAATATCTCGAGTGTCAACAAAGAAACGTTGCACGTCTACCGATTCGCTCCAACGACGCCCTGTCGAGCAGATGGTGTGTACCTGTGTGAATCTGTTGCCGGACATTACGAGCCTAGTGGCCAAATTGGCCACTAGGCCAGGCCAATCGCCCTTGAACATACAATCGCCGACGCCAGTGATTACGAGAGGCTCAACGACAGCTCCCCAAGAAAATTCGATGAACGACTAAGAGAAAAGCATGCGCAGACACATGCCCGATCGCAGCTTCCCACCCAAAACTCGTTAACTCAACTCGTCCTGCCCTGCCGACTTCATCTGTGGCCATCGGCCATCATGGCGGGCGCGCAGCAGCAAGCGCCCGTGAAGGTTTCGTAAGAAAGCAAGTTCAAGCAAGTGCACGAAATGAGAAATATGTTGGTGTTCTGATGTTATCGTTCGAACTGTATGTTATGAGACCGAGATGGTTCTACCTATGAACCAGTCTCGTCCCTTTCTTCTTTTTTTTCTCTTTTTCAGTTATCCGTCTCTCCTCCGCGTGTAGTCTGTTTCGTTTCTTTCTCCTTTTTGCAGTTCCATTTAATCCCTATTATTCTCCTCTACGTCGTCAAAGGGTGTTTGGCACCCGGTGTAAATGGCTTGTGAAGCCAAGCCCGAGAGGCAGACTCTTCCTGGCAACCTTAGGGGACACGTCGTTGAACGGAGACCCCGAGAATAGGTGCGAGTCCAGGCGTTAGTAATAGGTGATCCATAGGGGTTACCGAGTGGGTACCTTAGGGGTCACGCCTTAGAGCGGAGACCCTGTGGATAGGTGTCAGCCCAGAGTTTATATGGTTAGTGTCCGTTGGGATGCTATCTACAGTGAGATTCCTGGCCGAGGAATCCTGGGTGTAGACCCTCCGGGGGAATCCTTGTGGAGACCTCCTTGGTGCGGCTCCTACAAGAGCGATCTGTAAAGATAAAGGGATACAGGGGGGACCATCGTTGAGTGGTCTCCCCCGGAATGTTCCCGTGGGTAATTTCATGATGCGGTATAACATCGGTCAGGGACGACACACCATCGAGTTGGTCTCCTTGTGGGTTGGAGTGCCTGTGGCATCTTCCTCCTGACACCAGTCTCGTATTCGTGATGACATCATGTGATTAGGGTCACTGAGCGACACTCAGTGGGGCGGATTGGTCTCTGGAGAGCCCTACGTTGTCCGCCGGCATCCTCAATAGGAGGATTCCTGCTGATCCATCCGAGAGTGGATCGGTTCGTGGCACAAGCTTTGTGCGACGAAGCTTGTCTGTTGACACAATGTTTGAGTATTTGGTGTCGCCATACAATTAGAATGCTAGCCTATTAAGCTTGGCTCATGGCTAATAGCTGACTCCGTTGAAGTCGTTGACAACGTGTGATCATCTTATCTCAGAGATAGATGATGAGGTTCAACTGCGAATGGTTGCTCCTCAATGGTTTTTTTTCGATGAAGCCCCCGCGAGTCTGTTTCTGTGAATTTGTTCTGGTTGCGCTGGGTAGCGAGCTTCTTGGGGCAGGGTTTCAGGATCGATTGGTAACCTGTCAGTTTATTTTCTCGTTGTTGGGGTCGGCTATTTGACCGTCCATGACTAAAGGTTGCCGCTCCCAGGAGGCTCGCAAACGTCGAAGGCGACGCTACAAAGCCGCTCGGTATGCTCATAGTGCTATCACTACTACCGAGAAGAGTTATGTCGACACGAGGAGCGCTGATCCTCCCTTGGATAACTCGAAGTCTTTATCGGTGGACCAAGTCCCCGGGCTTCTTCCAACTGACGGCAACTGTTGGGAAACATTGGCCGCATCAGTCTTAGCAAAAGAGCGATCTGCTACTCCGATGCAAGACGGATCGGGATTGCCCGCCACATGTCAGTGGGATTCTACTATCCATATTTCGACCCGATTCGAGGCCGTCGTTAACGAGATTGCTGATGCTCTTCAGGATAAAGCGACAGAATGGTCTAATCAACCCCAGGTTAAGGAGTTTCTATCGACCTTCGAATTCTCATCGAGAGAGTTACAATCCTCCATGGCCGTTGGATGGGTCAACCTTGGTATTGTCGAAGCGGGCAACGAGTTAGCAGTTGAATTCTGCAACATTCTAGAGAGTCACGGCTTTGGGAATACTGCTACCTTCATGGAATCGGCTTCTTCAGTTTCAAAGGTTAGGGGAAGGCTTTTGGAGGTGCTATCCCGCATCACCGCAGATGAGAGTATTCCGGAGATAATGGAATTGGTTTGCATTATGAGTGGTTGTGGGGTTGGTCTTA